ACAGTCTGGAATATCACTGTTTGGTGGGCTTTGCAATCTAACTAGGGAGAAAGAGCCAACCATGACATATTATATTCTGTAATGAGGGACACTGTGCACACCATAACCACTGCAGTTTAATCAGAGGGTGGGAGTGTCTATCCCAGTATCTTGGAGATGGAAGCCACCTGCGTCCTCCCATGGGCTGGTTGGGGTTCTAACGCAGTGTATCCCTAATTGAAGGCTAGTTTCGCAGTGACTGCTTTGGGGTTCTGGCAGTGATATCAATTGCAGTGCTACAGCACAATGTTAGCTGTGTAAAGTAACACACCTGAAAAAAATCATTAATACCGATTCATTTGGTTATTGTATTTATATTGATGTATCTATTTTTCATATTTTACTTTGGATGTTTACTGTTACCCTGCTTTTAGAATCCACTCTGTCTGGTATGGATAGGAAGTTCATACTGAGTGCAGCAGAGGGCGCCACAGTTATGAGATTTGGATTGCTGACCTCGGTAGCCTTCCTGCCCCCTGCTGTGAAGAACATGCCATAGCATGAAGTAGGACATTGTGATTTTAATGCTTTTGTTAGTAAATAACTGAAGATTAAACCCTATAGATAATGATGTACTCCCCTGTATTTGGGTACCATGTTATAGATATACAGTTTAATGGGAGGGGTTTTCTGTTATGTTGGCTCTGAACAAGGAGCTATGATGTGAAGCTTAGTTAATGATTTCATTTACTTTTATTGGTACACAAGTGGAGGGTTTTGGAAGAGTTCACACATACATATACACTGATTGGGATATTTATATCTGCATGAGTAGAAAAAGGAAAATGTTTTGTGGTAAAACAGATTAAAAATACGTTAACCGTGTGGATCACAAAGTCTGGGATATCGACGTTAGTACCCACATACAGATACATAGTTATTGTCGAATCTATTCACATGTGTATATATATTCCCACTCCAGCTGGTTTAAAGGGACATTGTAGGCACCCAGACTTCATCTCAGTGATGTGGCCTGGCTGCCATTTCGTCCTTGTTTTAACCCTGCGAATGCAAACATTGCTTACATTGTTTGCCTATAGTGTATAGAAATCCTTCAACCAGATGGTTTCATAGAGACCGTGCATGTGCACCAGCCTCTCGATCTCAGACACGCAGGTGCGGATAGCTGTGCTCTCAGGATGAAAGGTTGAGTGTGCAACTTTTTTTCCCCCTCTCTCTACAGATGGGGCCGCAGACCCCATCACATACCAGGGCACTATAGCGTTACAAATACGCATTGGTATTCCCAATGGCAAAGTGGTGTTTAAAAAAAAAAAAAAACTCCTAAAGCAAGTAAGCCTGATGAAGTGCTTTATGTGTGAAGAGTGTGTCCTCCTTTCGTACAGATTTCATTTGAAATTGGCATTTTGTGTAATTTAACCCCGTTACACTCCTAGCTGTCCATCTGACAACGTGTTCTGTTACTTCCAGGATTGGATAGCTCAGTGAAGATCAACTCAAGAGACAGCAACTGCCCTTGCCTTGTGAAGACTTCTCATTAAGCTGCGTTGGGAAGTCTGGGTGGGGTTAGAAGGGGACAACTTGCAAAGGCAAACGAAATCTGCAACTTTTCTAACCTGTTTTATGATATACCTCCAATGAAAAAAATCGAAAACAATGACAGGCAGGACTATCACTGCATGGAGGCCACATCATCTAACTAGAGGGAAATATTAGATTGTAGTTTGCAATTAGGGCCACTCTAAGCACCATAACTATTACACATTGTACTGTTCTCATATTTGAAAGGTTTAAATTTCTACATGTGACTGACTGACTGCCACGTCGTCACCTTATCACAACCTACATGACTCAGAGATTGGAATATGTTGTAATCTCAGTAAAGGTGAGTAAATATATTGGTTTGTTTATTGATCACAGAACTAGTATGAAGACTGTCCACATACCCAGTAGAACTATCTGGATTACTCTAGTGCAAGCTTCCCCAAACTCTGGCCTTCCAGATGTTGCTGAAGGACAACTCCCATGATTTTCTGTCTATTTCATTCATGGAATCATGGGAGTTGTCCTTCAGCAACATCTGGAGGGCCAGAGTTTGGGGAAGCCTGCTGTAGTGGTACTGGACACATTTTGATGATGAAGATAAATTATTCCATTGGTGACTCCTCAACTTTTACATTTTTGCACCATTTTTTCAATTGATAAATCTTTTGCAATTGGATTTTAAACCTGCAGTAATGATTCGTTCATAAAGGTTTTTTTTATTTTTGCTGTTTTTAATTAGCTTTTTATAAAATGTGTTTTTAAGAGGGAGATCTCTATTCTGTCTCGTGAATGAATTTACAGAAGGCGTGAGCCTCTGTAACCGTGTGTGGTTCCCTTATTTACCACTATAATGTCTTAAAGCATAGAACTTAGTAGGGCTAACCATACAGATATCTTAGCCATAATTTTATATAGTGTAAGAGATCCTCTATTTAACATATATAAATAATTGAGAATACAATATAAAATAAGGATTGTCTTGGAAGCAAGATTGTCTTTTGGATATTTATTATATAAAAATATAAAATCCATTATAGCAGAGTTTATAAGATTTAAATTACATGCTTGCAAATATCATTAATAGGTTAACATACCCTTCTGAACATGTCATCATGTCAGCCTCTCTGTCATTTTAAGATGGAGCAGCGTCTGTCTCCAAGTCTCTCCTCTGTGTCTTAACATTTAAAAGTACACCTATTTATACCTTAGGTGTCTCCATTTTAGGTTACTGTAGTTCAAATATGAAAAAGTAACACTTCTTTTACTTTATTCAATTTAGGACCTCCCTTAATTTGGCAAACATACAAGGCCATAACTAAAGGGTGTATACGTCATGGAAATTTTCCTGACTTAGTTCAAGATGGCATCTTAAAGTCTGAATAGGTTATCTGTTGTTTATACTAAGTCGTAAGTGTACAGTCGTGGGAGATTCCCGGATTTGGGGAAGTTCCATTAACTTGGGGTTACCACAGTATATTGTGTACTGCAAGAGTCGTAGATAGCCTTGAAGCTTGTTTATGCATTATTGTTATTGTAATTCGTCTGGGACAAAATGGCGCAAACATATTATGCACTGAGGTTATTGCTTAAAGAAACAGTTAAGAAAAACAATATGTTCCATTTCTAACACCTTGTCAGTTTGCAATATCTCTTAAAGACAAAGTACACAGTTTAAGAAATACAACATTTCATTCTAAAACTTGTAATATTTGCATTTGCCCGTAACACCCTCTCCATTAAACTGTGGGCATTGTAGCGCATTTCTTCCTTAAATTAGTAAACCAAAGTTCTCCAACTGTCTTTAGGTTTTTTATGCTCCCAGCATCTTAGATCATTGTTGTAACAGTAAAATATCCGTAGTGTGATCTTTGCCTGTAAAGGTGGTTGATTAAAATGAGCAAAGCTTTTGTCTGGGAAAGAATTGAAAAGAACACCAGGTTCCAGAGTAAGATATTCTTGGATGGATCCGGATACGAATTGTAATCCAAAATTAAAAATAGTAATTGTATTTGTAATCCAAAGTCTGTAAAGGCCTGTAGAAGTTTACATTCCTTAGATACATTGCTGGAGGTTGTGTTTGTAGAATACCCGGGTATTAGTTGTAGAGTATAGGTTGTAGAGTCCAGCTTTCCAAATATTTGGATAGAATTGGTTGCAGATATTGAATCAGCATCATCTGTTATCACCGTGGTGATGGCGTTGGTATTTGTCTTTGTCTTTTGTCTTTGCTTTTTATTTTGTTTGTTTTTTCCATGAAACATTTTTACACCGTTTATGATGTGTATAGATTGGATACTCTCTGATATTCTTTTACGGAATAAATTAATTGACAGCATTTCCAAGACATTGTCTTAAGTGACATGGATCCCATTATAGTAAATGTTTTGTTGATACAGCAATCGAAGTGGATCCTCAAGATCGCCTCTTTTTGCTGTATTGGAATCTTTGTAATATCTCAGTGATAGACATCTCACTGACATCAGGTGCTGTTGTGCTAAAAATGTTCACAGGTCAAATCTGTGGAAAAATCTTTTCATTTGTTATAGTTTGTATAATAATGATAGATGAAATAGTAACATAGTTAATCTTTCTAGTGTTTTGTTTTAAAGATAAACACCCTTGTATATGATTTAGATATATAAGGATAATTTGAAGCAGCAAAATATTTACCACCTTTGTTCACAATGGTATGTAAAATTACATTCTCTTTAAATGTTAAAAACTCCTTTATTCAAAATCTCTCAATATATTTAGAATAGTTGATAATTGGAAATATGACGTTAATTATCTTTCTTTGTCCTGTTAGGGAGAAGACAACTTATTCCCTAAGTTATAATTAGTAAATATAATAACTACAGTTATTAGTGGCTTAAAATACCAGAAACACCCAAAAATTGTCTTAGAAAACATTTTTTTTTTTTTTTTTTTTAACCAAGATCTGACAGCCATTGTGGAAAGCTACATTCGTGAGATTGGATGCTTAACAATGTGAATCTTAATTGTTTAAGTATATTTTTCAGTGGCTGTTGGATGTAGCTTAAGATGATTAGAATTTGTATTATTATTTCTAAAAGTGAGTTAAGAAAGCACTCAGATACAATATTGAATGTATTTATATTTTAACTCTACCTTTGTATAGGTGGTTTATGTACCTTTAACCATTACAAACCAAATTACATTTTCTTTGTATTTGAAAAACTGATAAAATATTTGATTACGTGTATTTTAATATATATACATAGAGTGGTATGGATGTTGAATTTATATCTTTGACATCTTTTCACCAGTTTGCAATAGGTGACCTAAATGATCAATTTCCAAATTCATCATGTATATCACCTGGATGGGTTAATCCCTAATACTCTTTTACTTTCCATTGACTGGCCTTGGCTCTGGCAGACTGAATATTTTTATCATTATAAATAAACTTTATGATAGTTGAAGTAAAGTTTCTGCCTGTCTTAACTGTTTTTAACTGTTGAAGTATTTCACTTATATTAATTATACCACTCTGCAAACTTAAACGAATATCGAGTAGTTTCTGTTTTAATAAAAACATTTTATATTTTCTTCTAAAGTTTAAACCTTATTCATTATTGCAGTTGTTATTGCAATCATATGATCTTTAACTATCATGATTCAATTATTCATCTTGGTAATTAGCTGTTAGGCTCTTATACGTATGTTTAATATATTTGTTTGTAGGCCAGACTGCAGCTGCATATGGCATTTTAGCAATAATCTTCAATTGCGTTTCAGATATTCACAAAGTCTATCCACCTTTGTAATTAACACATTATGTGTTTATTTTATACCATTAATTATAGTATCTGTATTATATTACACATTATCACTGACACATTTCTGATACAGGGAAAAAATAGCATGATTGCTTTAGTAATTATAATTTTCGGTCCATGCACCACATTCCTGGAAGTCCAGAATATAAGAATCCTTTGTCATTTGATTCTATGGAGCCATTTAACATTTTGATTGGTAGAGTTATACCAAAAGAGCAAGGAGTACGATGGTAGATCACATCTGCAACAGAACCATTACAGATTCCTTGTTGTATCAATGTCTCTGTGTTTATGTTTACAGGAATTCCTTGCTTTGCAGGTATGTACATAATATGCAGAGTTTAAGAAAAGCTGCAAATTGTGCTTTAGTACAAGTGTCCCGTGATGTCAGGTTTCTAAAAGATTTTGCTGGTCTTTTATATTCCATTCTCTTGTCAGGGCATCTGCTCTTAGTAAGCCGGTCTTGTTGTTATTTATTAATTGCATCAAGGTTTCTTTCGTTAATTGATGTGTTTCTTCCAAATTCAAATTCATATGCCACCAAATGTCATTGTAAAGTTCATTGTTGCAGAATATTGTTCCAGGATGGTTTTTCACTCCAGTAGGAAATCTATATTCCCCTTCTTCTGCTCCTTCCTATTAACCACTTTTTCTGAGTTGTAGGTAACAATCTGTGTCTTGTACTGTGAGGTGCTTTGATAGTCAATCAGGTTTTCTCAGTACCATGTTCCATCTTGAAAAACAGCTGGGTGTTGACAGTTATCAGCCTTTATTTTTTTCCGGTCATCTTCTGTCTGGATAATAGCAATGTCCAGAATTAGCATAGCACTTCTTTTCAGCATAAGAAGGCTGTTTGCGGTAGTCATTCAATGATAAACTATATGGCAAAGTCTTTTCTTGCATCACCTTCATAGGTGCATCCAAAGTCTTTCATAAGCATCTTTCCCATCTTTTTCTGTTTTCAGCATGCTTTGCCATCATCGTTCAGTCCATTATTAGGATTTGTAATTGTCCAATCACATCTTTCTCATGTATAATCGTTTTTTGGAATGATCTCAATAGGTTCCTTGTGAAATACCAGTGTAGGTCACATAAGCAATCATTTCACTGTGAGCTGTGTCTCTCCTTTTGAGATAGTTCTTGGAGGTAGTCCTCACGATCACAGAACTTGTATAGTGTGCAGTCCAATTCAGTTCAGGTGCTTCCTGCTTGTTAACATAATCCCAATGCAGTTAGGGTTGATGTTATGATAATGCTGCAGACTGTAAGAAGGCGATACCATAACCAATTTTCTAGCATCCTTTTGCTTCCATCTTTGCATTTCTTTCTTACTGTATAAGATAATTCATGTTCAGTCTGTTTTCTCCAGAGTCTTTCTTATAATGATGTTGATGATTCATTTTTCATACATTCCATGTTAACTGTGAATGTATCACGTCTGTCTGTTCATCCTTCTCCTTCACATTTGCAGGTACAGATGTCAGATCATGATTCAGTCTGTCTATGATTCTGGTGGCTTTTCTGTCGTCCTCTGTTTGTTTTATCTTGCCATCTTTAACAGCATCCATTGTGTCAGTCAGTGGTTCTGTGAATGTCCTGTTAATATTTAGCAGGTTGTAAAATATCAAAACTTACTGTTCTCTGTTGGGTCTGATTTGTTCTCTGTAGTTCTTGGTATCACCCTCTCCAGGACAAACTGGCCAACAGAAGGAAATAGGTGGTGGTGCAAGGCGAAGTGGACTGGAAAAAAAAAAAAATTCCCTAAATTTCTCTAATAGAACCAATGGTTCTAAGCTCTCCCTGGTGCAGAAATATATTTGTCAGTGAAAAACATGTAACATTTCATATGGTGTCTCACCATTTGTATCATCAGGTATGTTGTGAATTCTTATCTGTACCATAGGAATAAATAGATACCACTGTGTGGGGCAAGCAACTAGTAACTTGGTTAATAATCATTTAACCTCAGCATTCTCCCAGACCACAACCCCACTTCTTTGGGGGTGGTTGGGACACTGAAATCCCAAAGTAACCCAAATGTGGTTGCCCAGTTTTAGGTTTCCTTTGCAGTAACTGCAGGACCACCATCCAAATAGATGGTCCTGGGATTATCAAATGCATACTAAGGAAGTGAGACTAGAAAACGTGGCATCAGAGGTTGCACTTCGCACAGGATATATCCAAGTAAACCTGGTACATGCATCAACACATAAAAAACATATTTATAACCATGAGATGTTGGCAAACTTTCAATATATAGTAATTCAAAAAGTATGTTAGATATTAATTTTTCAATAAACAGTACATCAGTAATGTAGCAATAAGCAAATGCTTATGATTACTAAACACATGAATTACAGTATTTCCCATATTGTGACCACCAATATTCCTTTCAGGAGTCAGAAGTACATTATCTCTCTCTATAAGAGCTTGTCCTAGCCATGAAAAAGCTTTTAGGGCAAGTCTATCTTTCCTCTATAGGAAGAACAACCAACATATTACCTTCAATGGTTATTATGTAATTAACCCCTCTAAACGATAGGAGTATTTATACGGATACCAGGTGGATGAGGTCTGGATATCCTTGCAAGCATAAACTCTGCATCATGACAGAGAGATAGGGTATGCGATGTGATCCTGTGACCACAGAAAAGCGTTGGTAGACACATTGCATCAAAGTGCCTGTTACAGACCAACTACATGAGGAGAGGGCCCATGCTTTGTTATAAGCATGTCCATACACGTATTACAATGCCAGGCTTTCAATTTGTTATCACAAAGCAAAATGCAGTTGTGGATATAAACTCACGACATATCGTAAGAAAAACTGTTTGAACACCAGACTGAGACTCGAGATCAGTGAACAGTGGACCAAAATAGATAAATTAAATCTTATCAATTAATATAGTTTCAATATACTTTCTTTAAATTACTTTATCCTCTGTATTAACTATGAAATATTAAAGTTAAAACAATAACATTTAAAAGCCAACTTTTAGTGTGGATAGGAATTACAAGGCCGTTCATAATGGGAGATAAAGAACAGCTTTTTAAAACCGAATAGTCTGTAAACACAAAATGACCTTGCGCTGAAAACTCACTTGCAGGGGAAAAACAAAACCTTCTTTTTTTCTTTTTCTTTAGTAAGTTAATTAATTAATTAAACGTAGTTAGAACCTCCCTCAAAGTCCCGATGACTTTGCAAGAAACATGTCATCCTTAAATACTGGGTAAGTCTATTAAACAGTGAAATAGCATTTTGACACTGTATATCATGTTGTCACAGCTATAATGTGCAGTATAACAAACTATTTATAAGTGTTGTGCAAACTGTTCATTAAAAGCCAGTAGTCTAGTGAGCTATAGAACATTTATTTATTTATTCTTTAAAGCTCTGACCTCAATCGGCAAAGCAATATTGTAATGGTGTCTATTGCAATCTGCTGTCTATACTTGCTGCTCTCAAAAATTCTGAATGTGTTCAGAGATTTCTTGGGCAATAATAAATCCCCCAAAACAACAACTTTGCATTTATGCTAAACCTGCCTGTTGTAAACGTATTCTGTATATTTCTTGACATAAGTACTTGTACTTAAATCTGTTTAACAAAGCTGTTTATATTGTGGTGTAAAATATATTTTTTATTATTATTATTTATTTTATTTTTTTATTTTTTTTAACATTGCTTAATTTTTAAAGATACCTGCATATTTAATTCCCAGATTTTACTATTAACATGACGTAAAGTCATGATTTTATTAATGACACGGAGGCGAGTATTATGCATTCTCTTTCTTTATTATACTCCCAGCAGCAAGAAAAGGAAGTATGAGAGAATCATATAAAAAACATAACAGCTTGGTAACAGTGGCACCAATCAGCATCCAGTATTATCCATATGGGTGTGGTGCTCCTTGACTCCTCCTCTTTCTGCGTAGATCCCGAAGACCATAGTGTAAGTTCCAAAATAATCCAACAACACGAATTCCCGAAACAAAACCATAACCGGAAATTCAACAGGGAACAGCTTCAACCGCCAACTTTCACAGGTGTATTCAAGCTAAAAAAGAAGAAATATATGGTAATATTGAGACTTGCGACTGCTATTCCATAGTTAGCCAACTCTTCCACTACGTTATTCCAACCCTATAAGTATATAGAAGTATATTCATCACAAACCTTACTCACCTTCGTGTCGTGTATGACACTTTACCTACCGTATTTTGTCATTCCAAAGGTCCCATGATTGACCTGTAACTTAAACACCACCCTGGGTAGGGCGGGTGGGAATAATACTCGCCTCCGTGTCATTAATAAAATCATGACTTTACGTCATGTTAATAGTAAAATCTGGGAATTTTATTAAAGACACGGAGGCTCCTATTATGCTATTTTAAAGCTGAGCAACCACCAAACTGGAAATATGTTGCACCGAAAGTAGAAATTACGAAACGTAGACTCATTCGACCAATCAGCTGCTCGTAAGATGTCTTCCAATCTACAACCTATCATGGAAGCTTTAGAAGCCATTGCCCCGCGAATGGAGTGTGGGGAGAAAATTGAAGTGTCTATGCCTGCCACGGATAATAACCATTTGATCCAACGAGCTAAAGTAGGAGTAGATACTGGTAGGTGCGGTACTCTGAACGAGATGAATAATGGATGAGTTTGATCAGGACGGAGCGAGCTCGTGCGGCGCTCGTATTCCTTAAGGCATAACACTGGGCACAGATTAGGGTTGTCTGGAAACGACGGGTAGAAGACCTCCTTAGTTGCAGACTTTGTCCTTCGTGAAATATTGAAGGAAACTCCGTTCGGAACAAAAGCACGTGCTTGCCAATCCAATGCTCTGACATCAGCAACCCGTTTACATGAAAGTAAACAAAACAACATCAACAGTTTGGTTGATAATTGTTTAAGAGAAAGTTCATGATTCAAAGGCCAAGACTCGAGAAAACGAAAAATCACATTGACATCCCAGAAGGAAGAATACCGAGCCTGCGGGGGTCGAGCAAACCGGATGCCTTTGAGCAAACGACAGATGAGGGTATGTTTACCTATTGGAGTACCATCCAATCCCCTATGTCTCGCTGATATCGCTGACCTGTATAGATTTATAGTCCGAAAGGCTTTACCTTCTTCAAAGAGTAGAGTCAGGAATTGTAAGATTATTTTCACAGGAGCTGATATGGGATCCACTGATTGTCCCACGCACCAATCAGTCCACTTCCTCCAAGCCGACCCGTAGGAACGTCTGGTACCTGGTGCCCAAGACTCTGCCAAGAGACTGAGTGTTGTCTGCGAAACATCCTCGAGATTCCATGTTCCCCTGAAAGGAACCATGCCATCAGGCGAAGTAGACCCTGGTCGATCAACTCGTGACTCATTCCCTCTGGATTGGTCAGGAGGTAGGGTATGTCCGGCAAGAGTCGTGGGGAATCTATCGACATTTCTAATAACTGTGGGAACCAAGGTTGTGACCTCCATAACGGGGTTATCAGCACTAGAGTCCCCTGGGAATATCGAAGGTATGCAAGGGTCCGAGAGATGAGGCTGAACGGTGGAAAAGCGTAATTCCTGCTCTTGGACCAATCTTGTAAGAATGCGTCTGTCGCCAGCGCATCTGGGTCCGGTCTCCAACTGAAGAACCGAGGAAGTTGGGTGTTCAGCCGAGACGCGAAGAGATCTATGTTGAGAGGTCCCCAAAGTCGAGAGAGACGTTGGAAGATCATAGGGTGGAGATGCCAATCCCCTGTGTCTCGAAGATATCGAGAATTCCAATCCGCTAGTGCATTGTCCCGTCCTGGGATATATTCCGCTATTACCGAAATGTTGTGTTTTAGACAAAAGTGCCAAAAATCTCGAGCCATCAGTGCCAGAACTTTCGATTTCGTTCCTCCTAGGTGGTTGATATAACGCACCGCCGAAACGTTGTCCATCTTGATTAGGATAGAGCATGAGATGCCTGTGGGGGTCATGCTGCGAATGGCAAAGGATGCCGCTAACAGTTCTAGGCAGTTGATGTGTAACAACGTTTCTTCGTTGGACCATCTGCCACCGGTGGAAACTGAGCCACAATGCGCGCCCCAGCCGTGTAAGCTGGCGTCTGACTCTATGACCAGATCTGGCGTAGACCCGAATATCGCCCGTCCGTTCCACGCCTCCATGTGGGCTAGCCACCATGTCAACTCCTCTCTGGAATCTTCGTCCAGTGTAACACA